CAGGGCTACACTTAGAGACAGACAACCAAGCACACTGACATTAACACCTATGGACAATTTAGAATCACCAATGAACCTCAACATGTTTTTTTTATGTGAACGTACACACACTCTGAAGCAGAAAGCCTGAGTTCATAAAGACAGTTGAAAACCACCTTCGTGGTACACATAATCTCTGGCTAGGGCGTTCGGTTTTGTCGATTCGGCTTACACAAAGAAAGCCTGGCTATGTCAGACTTACTTCGTAGTACACCCTTCAGCAGTGTGCAATTTGTCACCGAAGCTCAACACACCCCTGCCTGCCTCAGCTATCTGCGAGAGGCTTTGTAGCACTGCAGGACTAATTTTCAGATCCACAAGGGCACATCTTCATTTAAAGAACTTTGAGAACAACCTTCTACTGAGACTCAATAAAAAGATTTTGGTGGTCTTGAAGAGAGGAGTGTTTCCATGTTGATCATAATATATATTTATTTATATATTTATGATGTTGCTGAAATGGAAAACTGTCCAGTGATGTTTTTTCTCTGCACCAGCACTGTGCAGGTTCTTAAAGGATGAAAAAAATCCTATTTTGTGTGCTTAAAGCTTTTTACAGACTTGTAGACTCTGTCAAGTCCACAGTCGTGTGTTTCCCGTGACTCCTTCAACTCTTAAATTTCTTTGTCACAAAATACAATCATGCATTTTGGTTCTTTCAGGGAATTGTTGCAGTTTTTCTGGAAATATGACAAAATATATATATATATATGTTATCGTCGACCCGGGGGAGTGGTGTCTTAGTGAATGCTGCCAACGGGTAGTGGCAACTACGCTCGTGAATAGCAGCGTTAGCAGCGAAGACAACGGTTGCGAAACTCCGTCAGCGCTTATTGTTAAATATTTTCCCGCTAGGTACCCTCGAAAACAACGTATTGGCCCAATTTGCAGCGTATTTTTTTAGGCAGCAGCGTAATGGATCGTTGCTCTGTTATAACGCTGGAGAGAACCTTGTATGCAATTGTTCTTCTTCTTCTTGTTATTACTATTATTATTACTATTTGGATAGTTCATTTCATGACTGAATGCTTGTTCACATACGGGGAAATCAGTGGGAAACTGATAGCCAATCAGAATGAATGTAACAGAAAGTCACCATATACCGGAGCCGCTACACCGGGCTGCAGGGTTGAACGGGGTGAAAGCGGCAGACCAGTATAGCGAGCTATAGTGTTGAAAGGGTTAAGCAGAGACAGGAAGCTCTTTGGTTGCTGGTGCAAAAAAAATTGCTTGCTTCTGTACCATCTGCTCAAAAAAACTCATGTACGCAACTAGCGGCAAAAAAGTGCTGTCAGATCACGAGTCAGACCCCGGCCATAGAGCT